ATTTTACAAGTGAGAAATTCTTGTGAAAATGTGTTCAGGTATGCTAAATAAAACTTGTCATATCTTTTTATGTTGATAACAAGCAAAAAGAAAGACAAATGAAACAGTATCTATGTCCTTATTTACGGAATGTAACAGTATACAGTCATTCCCAGAAGGGGTAGCAAGGGGCAAACCTAAGCATAAAACCTAACTTTTGTCCTTCTGGTTTTTTTTGTTTTGTTTTGTTTTGTTTTGTTTTTTCTTTTTGGTTTTTCTCCGGTACCGGGAACCGAACTCACGACCTTGCGCTTGCCAGGCAAGCGCTTTTGCCACTGAGCTAAATCCCCAGCCCCTGTCCTTCTGTTTTACCTTTCATAGGTAATTACTTTTTTTCATTTCATATGTAATAGGTTTTTTTTGTTTTTACTAATGAAAAATTTACCAGAAGAGGAGACAAAATTCAGTTTGTAGGATAGGACAGGCAGATGAAAATATTTGATATCTGGTACTTTTTCTCATCTATAAAGCTAGTGAAGCCATCAAGTTATGAAATTTTATAAATCTTTTAAAATCAATGTGGGCTTATTAAGAAAAATGTTTGCTACATTTCTCAAAAATTACATTCTCTACAGCAATACTTGGTCTCGAATTGACTTTTATTACATTTAGCAATAGTTTAAATGAAATATTCTGAAAGTTTATTAGTGATATTATTTCAGAATGGTGTATGTAATATTTCCATATATGTTTGTCAAGTTTATAGTCAGCATTATAGTCATTACTTCATTCATTTATAATAAAAGTGAACTTATTTTTGTTCTTTTTGTTTGTTTTTTTCCAGTACTGGGAATCAAACTCATGACCTCGTGCTTGCAAGGCAGGCACTGTGCCGCTGAGCTAAATCCCCAGCCCCCATGAACTTATTTTTCTCTATATGATGATACTCACATTAAGAGAAATAATGTTACTCTTTTGATTAGATTAGGTAAAGTCCTCATGTGAAAACTGTAGCTCATTATATATGAGGATGTAGCATTTCCAGCTGACTTTCTCACCTTAATCAAAACATTTGCTTACAATAGCAGCTGCCTTGTTTTTAAACTGCTTGCAAAAAGCTGAACTGGAAAGAAAGCTTCCATATTTATCAAGGTTAGGCCTTTGGGACATATCCAATTCAAAAAGCCAATTTTTTTATTCACCCTAAAGTTTGTCTCATGAAACTGTATTCAACAAAGTGTATACAGTCTACACTAATATAGTACAGCCCATAAATTTATGAATAATTATTCTTTGCAGAATAGGTACATTAAACTTATATCAGAAATGCTTAATACAGTTCATAGGCTATATAATCAGATTAAATATTTTGGGGAAATAGTATATGGGGCTGAGTTTATCATTTAATAGTGAATTTTTATTCTGAGTGATTATTTATGTCACTTAAGCTGCATAAATTAAATATGACTTTATAATTTTGATATCATTTGAGTCAGGTAAAGGATACATCATGAATTGATGAAAACAACTATTTTGCAAAATTTTTTATAATCTGTATTTGCCAAAATATATGCTTCTATTTATATATTTTTAAGAGTATAACATTTCAATATTGGTGAATGTGCACCATGTGAAAATATATATTTAATTTTTAATGATAATACAATATTTTTTAAAGAGTTAATTTCTCTTTGTAGGTATGTCAAAGGCACAAAAGAGTAAATGTAATGTAGGTCAAACTAACACATCTTACTTAATTTAAGCATTAAAAATGTGTGTTTGAAAGATTTCAATCTCCACGTTCTGCAAATAAAACCAGAAAAACAATACAATAAAATGTATTGTATTCCAAAGAAATCTGACTAACCAATTATTTTAAAATTTCACCATCTGCTCTCATGGAAGTGGCAAGACCAGGAGCCTTTTCCCCTTGTACAAACCAAGCTAATCAAAATGTAACCATGAGAAATGCTAACATCCTCTCTCCCTCTTATTCGTTGCGGTGGTTTTTAATGAAAACTTGAGTATACAGACAAAGGAGAGGGGAGGACATTCCCTCACCCCGTCTCCTAATTGAGTGCTTATATCCAGTACTCGCTTTTTCTGCCCTGGGCAGCATGACATTGCCTCATTTGGCCACACATAGCTATTATTCCAAGAGGCAGCCAGGAAGTGCCCCAATCCATCTGCTTGCTTTTTCATGGGCTGGTGCTTTCCTTGATGTTGACAGCTGTCTTAATATTCTTGGGCCACCTGCCACACAGTAAATACTGTACTCTAAGATATATTCGGTGGTGCATCCCTCTGCTGGAGTTTTCAGAAGAAAAAGCTTGTCAATTTGAAACTACTCTTTCATTCTATTTTAAATGCTTCAAGTATCAACCCCTTCTGTCTATTATACTTTTGAGGCATGAAGTACTCACTGTAAGAATGGCAAAACTATACACATTGCCTTACTGGTTACAGTTTGATGAGGTTTAGGTTTTCTCATACATCACATAAGTTATTGTAGTATGTTTGTGGAAGTTATGTGGTCACAGGAGTTGAGGAAAAGGAGAACATACTGACATTACTTGCTCTAGTGAGCCTTCATGAAGCCTTTAGATCAAGCTGAAGATCCATCCTATATTGGCCCTGTCTTGCCTAGTTCTCCTGTCTTGCCTATGTGCTCATCTGTTTCCCCTGTCAGTTCCTTGAGGGAAAGCATTTGGTCTTATCAGTCACTGTATCTCTGTATCCCTAATAATATGCATCTACACAACACATACTGGCAGTTAAAAACAGATCTACACTTTGTGGGATCTAAAGTTTTTACAGGGGTTCTCCAAAGAAAAAACTTCTAAAATTAAATTTAGACATAAAAAGGACATCTAATGCCATAAATGAAAAAAATACATAGAATTAAAAAAATGCAAATTACCAGTGCTAAAAGATTGACTAATACTACAATGTTAACAAAGTCTATGTAAATTATATTTTTTCTATTAACTGCCTGGTACCACTCTACAATATTTAAAAATAGCTTTAATAGCATATTATTTGATGACCTTGTTATTAATAGGAGTGTATAAACAGGCAACATTATACACAGAGTTCATAGTACCGTTATAGTTTTATGCCTCACAAATAAGAATTCCAATAAATTTCATTTTATATGGCTTACATGAAAAACAAAAAATGGTTTGTTTATAGTTATAGAAACTATATACACTACATTATCGAACACGACTGATATGACAGAAATTACATCAACGAGACGTAATTTTCCTGGGTATAGTGATGCAAATCTGTCTACATCATGGGTTTGTATTCCCCATTGTTCACTTTTGGGGTCTTTTATAAAACTTACAGTATCTTACACCTTTGCAAGCTGTGCATTAATAAAAGGGATTCTACTTGGATTAACATTAGCATTATTACTATGACACTGCAGAAAAATTTCAGCATTAAGAACTTTACATATTGTGGTTCTTACCCTTCATGCTTACTGAGGTGAATGGTTACTGGAGAAATATGTGGACTGCATCAGCATTTTCCTTAGGCCCAATTTTTTAGAGAAGTATTATCAGTTAAAACCATAATTCATTAATAAATCTTACTGGCTCCCACCCGCTTTGATCCCCAGAAAACTTCCGCAACACTGTACCTCTAGATGGGCATTGGGGTACAGGGCTTGCTTTGGTCACAGAACAAGTGAGAGATACGTCTGGCAGTCATTTTACATTCATTTGGGGAGATAAAATATTCTCTAGGCCTTCTATTTGGAAGAGTTTGCTTAGCTCTCTGTGCTTGCAAAATTTCTTTAATCTTTAAATTGGATTCACCCTAAAATAATAAAGTTGGAATTGGGAGCTTGTCTTATTCTAGTGTATTATCCTACCCTTTTCTTGTTTGCTGAGACTTATTTCCTATCTCAGTTGACGAAACCTGGGCTCCTTGAACTGGAGGAGCTAAAGCTGGTTGAAAACGAGTTGCACAGAGCGCCGCGGGCCCTCCCAGCTGGCGGAGCCGCAGTGTCCGGGCGGCGGCTGTGGGTGGCGCGCAGCAAGGCTCGGGACCTGGGGCTGACGGAGCGGAACCTGCTCCGAAGAAACACCTACCTCCTCCGGAACCTCACAGACAGAGAGGTATTGCAAAGCTCCTGTCTCCCCTGTCAAACCGCCTCGGACATTTCTTTTTATCCCGTTGACTTGTATAAAGTTACCCATTTCCATGAGTTCTGCACCAGTTGCCCTGAGGCCTTAAGACAATACAGAGGGGTGGGCGGAGCGCACCGTCTTCCTCACCAGCCGCAAGACTATGAAACTACACCGCGCTGCTGGACTGCGCCGCGTACTGTAAAGCAAGTCTTAAGGACCTGTTGGCTTCCAAATTCCGGGAATGTTTGTTTCAGCATTCGCAGTTCGCGCCACGCACGTTCTCCATCCGTGCCCGGAAACGCGTCCGCAGGGCGGCGGGGTGCGCGCGAGCCCCTCAGACCGCGGGGAGCGGGCTGCGCGCGGGCGGGGCCGCCCTCCCTCGAGCGCCCGCGGCAGCGCCCCACACCCCGGGAGCCCCGGCGGTGCGAGACTGTGCACGCGCCATCCCGCAGCTCACCAGGAGTCTGAAAACGGCCCGCGGCTCCCCAGGATGAATGTAATCACTACGTCCTGCAAACACGTACTGAGGAAAAAGATTAAAGAAAAAGAAAAAAATCAGTAACCGTAGTGGAAAGCCCAGCCAAACAAGAAGCTTAACTCGTTTGCGCGGGAAGCCGAGAGCTGCGTCACCTGGAGGCGGGCCCCTGCACGCGGGAGCCGGGAGCGCGGGCAGCTCGCGCGTGGGCTCCTCCCGGGGGCGGGGCGTCTGCGGGACGGGGCGGGGC